ACATACCTACCTACCTACCCACCCACCTACCTACCTACCCACCTACCTACCTACCTACCTACCTACCTACCTACCTACCTACCTACCTACCTACCTACCTACCCCCTGGGCAACATTACTCAAAAGCCGTGTGCATAGGACCTGCGACTTGAGCTGAATGCCGACAATGTGCTACCTTCCGAGATCTCTAGTGCTGAGACTTTGCCGGCAACGGACTCCCAGCTGACTGCTGCCGGGCTTCAGGATTCTGCTGAGCAAGCGGATGCCTGGCTGTCTGTGTGTCTGTGTCGTGTCTCTGTTCCGGGCTATCTATCTAATCTATTTTACACCCAGGACGATGTGGATGATGGGCCGGTCGCAACGGATGATGTCTACATGGTTGACGACTGGGATACAGACGACGACATGCAAAATAGCATGGCTTTGAAGGCTAAAGAGGGATTACAAGTCGGACCCTAAACCCCAAACCTTATACTAAACCCTGAACCCTAAACCATGCTTTTGTGCATGCATGAAAAGTACTGACGCTATGTCCCTGAGGCAGCCCTGGATGCTCACAACCATGCCAAGGCTGAGGTCTGCACCCCGCCAAGCAAGAGGCAGCAGTTCTCGAGTCCGCCCCCGGCAACCCCAGCGACTAGTTTGCATGCATCGACTCCATATAATCCTCTTGCTGCCCCGGCAAATGTGGTCCTACTGAACGCTAGAAAATAACCCCTGCGAAATCTGAGGCTGATGGTTCTCAGGCGATGCTGTTGCAGCTTGTGCAAGCTCAGCAGGAAATGATCGCGAAGCTTCGCACCGGCCAAGCCCCGCACAGCAACCCTAGCCGTGTCGCCTCTGCTGCTCGACCGCCGCTTTCCCCAGTGCCGCCGCCTCCTGTAGTTGCAGCTCAAAAGAAAGAGACTGCCCAGGAGGCAGACCCTATTGTGCTGTGTTTGAACAGAAACAATATTGCTTGCATCCCTCTTGTGCCAGGAACAACAGGTGGCCCAACCCGCACCGGAGCGGGCCTCTGCGAAGCCCCAGGAGACCGCTGCTGCTATGCCTCAGGCACAGCTACAGAACACGCCCAAGTTTGCCGATGAAGACGAAGAGGGCAAGTATATGGCGAGAATGAGGAGCAAAGTGAACAGGCTCTGTGCCAGAACGAGCACCGGGAAACTGAATGTCTCCACGGAAGTCCATGAACTTTGGGCTAAAGCCGGACGTGCCAGAGACGGCTTAGTGCAGTTAATGGCCGACGCTGACGGAGTGAAGGACCCAAAATTCCTGAATACCTATCTCCTAGTCCTAGCCTTAAAACCTCCTGTCCCCAGTTTTAAACCCTGAAAGCTTATCATGTATGTAATGCAGGAGGATTTCCTGAGGAAGGTGGAAGTCTACAAAGACAGCTTCCGCTACCGAGAGCGGGCAACGAATGGAGGCTTCTACTCCAGGGAGGATATGATTAAGAAGGTCTCTGATGGGGGCCTGGGCTTCTCCCCGAATCTCGATCGCAGCTTCGTTTTTGGATGAAAGAGGACAGTGGCTAGGTACTCGTCTGCCAAGGAAGTACGCCGACAAAGTCATCGCATGGTGCAGATCCAACGAGCCCACCAAGAACATCAGGTCCATATGCCTTTGCGAGCCCCAAGATTCCTACCCAAACAAAATGTGTTTCCATATCTAAACCCTCACCTGTGCACGCAGGAAGAACAAGTACGACGACGACCTGGAGGAGTTCTGGGTGGATCACCGTACAGACGGACGACAGGGCTTTATGGAGAAGGAGGGCCTCAAGGAATCGGCTAGTGCTACCGGAGGCACGTCCAGCCTCTCGATCGCCGGGATGACTGGTGACCTGGACAGGGACTGGGGCCGTGAGGCTTCTCTGGTACAAGACCAGGATACCCCTCAGAAGGCCACTCATTCGTCAGTGGCAGATGCTATCTGTAGCAGTAATGAGAATTCTCTAGAAACATCAGCTCAGGCAACGGACCAGATCGAGCACTACATGAGGGAGTCTGTTGCGGCCCGTGACAAACTCAGCAAATTTATGGACAAGCTCGACCTGGATGATCCAACTGTGAAAGTGCACCTTGCATGAATTGTCTGGTTTGCAAATCCCAAGCAATGATAAGATCTTGACTATCCAAGGGAGTATCCCAAGATGAAGGAGATCGTGACTTCGCTTGGCTCCTTGTATGACGATCTAGCCTCCCAGCAAGCAGAGGCCAAGGTTGGAGGCGGCACAAGTGACGTGCACTTCGACTGAAACAGACCCCAGATCCCTTTATAGCCTACAAGCCCGAAGCCCTAGAGACCCTAAGAAACCATAGCTCATCCGCTATTTAGAATTTCGAGCATTCCCTATCCTCGAAGCCCAGAAAAACGAAGAACAACCCTAGCCTCCATCCTAAACCTACAGTCCCCGCTTATATCTTAGTCGGTGTCGAACTCTTCTAGCTTCTGCATGTCAAATGTAGAATGACGCAGTATCTCTCAGGCAAAAGGAGAGGTTGGAGAAAAACTTTGAGGCCATCAAGAAAAAGAGCCCGGGATGCAACTTAGATTTTGCACTCCTGGCCATTTGTCGTTCTTTCCGGCAATGGTCCCATCATGATTCCTATAACCTAGCATGCTTCCCCAGCCCTAGAGTCCTAGACTACGAGGATGACGCTGGCTATCTCTTGCGAAGTGAAGAACCGGCCTCTTGGCAAGCATTCCCAAACCCAAGACCCCAGACCCACTCTGATCGTGCGGTATCTAGATCCACTGAGGAAGCTGAAGAAGAAGTCCGCACGCAACCCCGGCAAAGCTGACAAGAAGCCTGCCAAAGCAGGCAAGGCACCGGAGCCTGATGCCAAGGACGGCGAGCCTGAGAAAGTTCCGGTTCGTAAGAGGAAGAAAGGGTCTGCCTAGAATCCCAGGCAGTGTGCAGTTTCTCGAGGCGATTTGAATTGCCTCTCCCAAGTGATAAGATCTAAACCGGGTTGTCGTAATCTTGGCTCATCCTAGCACCATAGGGCTCTTAGGACTGCCGTATATTTTCCGAAAGGTATTGGAAACCCCCGCAGGTCTAGATTCTCTACATGAGTGCTATAACGGTGCTCAGCTAGGGCGAGTTGTTTGCGGTGATGGGCCGATAACAGCCTAAACCCTAACACCTAAACCCTCTAAACCCTAAACCCCCTAAACCCTAAAACGAAATGCCTAGGTTTCAACCTATGTTTGCGGTGATGGGCCGATAACAGCCTAAACCCTAACACCTAAACCCTCTAAACCCTAAACCCCCTAAACCCTAAAACGAAATGCCTAGGTTTCAACCTATACAGAGTACACTTTGCCCGGAGCCGCATGAAGTTACAACTCAGTGCCACTCGAGCGATCTGGAAGCAGCTGGTGTGAAAAACTCGACACGTCTGTATGCATTGGCAAGCACCACCCCTTGTACCCCGAGCCACCTTACAGCCTAAATGTGTGCCAGGTTCGGATTCCGATGCTCACGCGAGCGACCGTGCTCGCAAACTGGCTTCGACTTTGGGCACTGGAGCTGGGGCCTTAAACGGACTGAGCTTTTTGTCCGAAGTGTGCTGGGTTGTGCGAAAGTAGGGGCCGAAGGTTTCGGGTGTTTTCGAAGAGTTGATGCTTCTCAAAACCCATATGTGCAGCCGTGTGTGCTTGTGTCCCGAGTACTAAGACAAAGGACGATCTTAAATTTCCCAAGCCCTAAACCACAACTTTCTAAACCCACTCGTAGAAACAAGTCTGTCGAAATGCAAAGCTATCTCAATGCAATTCGGCGAAACCCCGAATCTATGCCCTCCAACACCAAGATTGCTAAACTAAACCCGAAGCCAAACCGCCTCAATCCGCAGTGGTGTCCCAAACCCTCAACCAAACTCTCCCAAACCTTTCCTCAAAACCGGAACACCTGCCTAAACCTCGACCTCGTCCTATGCATAAACTAAAACCAATTGAAACCCTTCTGAAGCAGTCAAGATTTCCGAGCGCCGAAGCCATGGTCAAACGCAATAGAAACCCTTATGAGGATTTCATGGCGAAAAACCCTACGATGTTTCCTTGGGGATCCGACGACGAGATCCAAGCCGAAAGCAAAGAGCCACCAGACCTTGGCACGGCTGCACTATCCATTTCGCCACTGCAGCAGAACATCGCCGAAGGTTCGATTTCTTGGGTGCTACCAAGCTCTAGATTGCTGGCTGGAAAAGTGTTGCAACATTGCCAAGCCGTGATAAAACGCTTCCGCTTAGAATCTGGTGGCTTTGAACTGGTCATCTACAAGATTGGCATTACCCACGAGTGTTCTAGACGATTCGAGCTGTACCAGGCGAAAGGTTGGGACCAAATGGTTGTCATGTACCAGAGTGATGAGCTCGGGGCAGTCGAGATGCTGGAAGCTGCTTTGATTTCGCACCATAGTCAGTTGCAGCAGTGCCGGAATATGCTCCAAGGTGGCGAAGGAATGAGGGACAAGATGTTTCAAGCGAAATTCAACCCTCCATATTTTTGCTACTGTGTTTTGGCTCGGGCTGATCGTGCACGATGGGTGCTGTAAAGTCAAGGGAACTCGTCCTAATTCGATGAACTGGGGGAGCCTTCATGGAAAAAAGATCTTTGCACTGACCTGGCAGGGGTTTAGGGTTTAGGGT